GCAGAGACTGCATTAATATTTTTTTCCAGGCTAGCAATTCCCCACTCACATACTCCACTACACCATCATGTTTTGTCTGCAGAGCACAGCAGCTTCTGTCCCAGCTCCCCCCAGATCTCATTTTTTTGAGTTTTCTGAAATGTGATCATACCTGGTGGGGTTTTTTTCGCTTAAATAAATACCATACCTCTAGCAATATATATATATATATATATAATTTTCTGAAATGTGATCATACCTGGTTGGGTTTTTTTCGCTTAAATAAATACGGTACCTCTAGCAATATATACATACATGCATATATACACACACACCTACATACACTTCTACAGATAAAAATCATATTTCAAATTCAGGCTACGCTTACAGATGTGAGGTGAGCTTGTGGGCACGTATACACACACCTACATACACTTCTACATATAAAAATCATATTTCAAATTCAGGCTACACTTACAGATGTGAGGTGAGCTTGTGGGCACGCTGCAGTATTTGGGCCAAAAGGTAGCTTTACACCTTTTCCTGTCCCACTTGGTGCTGTGCAGACACAGGTCCATTCCTGGCAAAGCCAGGCAGAGCAGTGGGGGTTTGCAGGTGGCATGAGCTCCAGCTACCCCCATTGCACTGCAAACACCCTACATCTAGTGTGGGGTGACTCAGGCAGCCTCAAAACATGAGGTTTTTTGCTCACTCCCTGACTCGGTCTCCAAACGTACTATACAGGCAGAGCCTGCACGTCTCTGGAAGTCAAGTGTCCCTGTTTTAATGTCCTTAACGGCATTACAAAAACTATGTTGTTGCCCTGGTTTTGCATACCCACAGCAAAACAATCATCTCAAGGAGCTGCCAGACAACTCTGAGTGCCAAACTGATATAAATACCCCGGAGGGATGCAAATCCAGCTCCATTACACAGAACTGTATAATGCTACTGTGTCCTTCAAGAAAAAAAAAATCCACCAAGTGTCCTTTTAACACATAAAGCTAGAGCCAGTCTGAGACCAAGCAGTCCAGCTCAGTAGATGGGCAACTGAATTGTAGCCAATATCAGCTACAAGGCGCAGAAAGGGAGGTAGCACCTGTGTTTTCCCTCTCATTTTCTGAATTACAGATGGTCAGTGGACTGTGGCAGGATATTGAGGGAGGAGAAGAACAACACACAGAGGAGCAGGTGAGGAGGGACTGTAAGCGGCCGTAATAGAGAGAATTCAAATGCGGCAGAGAAGTGGTGAAAGTCAGATAATGACTGGGAGACCTGGAAAAAGGAGATGCATCCTGGGCTGCATCAAAAGATGCGTTGCCAGCAGGTCCAGAGGGGTAATTCTTCCACTTCACTCTGCTCTGGTGAGACCTCACCTGGAGTATTGTGTGCAGGTCTGGAGCCCTCAATATAAGAAGGACATGGACCTGATGGAGAGGGTCCAGAGGAGGGCCACGAGGATGATCAGGGGGATGGAGCACCTCTGCTACAAGGACAGGCTGAGGGAGCTGGGGTTGTTCAGCCTGAAGAAGAGGAGGCTCTGGGGAGACCTAATAGCGGCCTTCCAGTACCTGAAGGGAGCCTACAGGAAGGCTGGGGAGAACCTGTTTAGAAAGGCCTGCAGTGACAGGACGAGGGGCAATGGCTTCTAAAAAAAAAAAACAACAAAAAACCAAAACCAAAACAAACAACAAAAAAAAACCAAAACCATATCCAGGAGACAGAGGAAGTATGCAAATTCAAAACACCGATTATTAAAAAGACCGAACTAATGACTCACACTTTCATTACTCAAAGAAAATAGTATTTGAAATACTGTCAAACATGACAGTGGTAAAAATGAAGCACACTGCCCTACATTTACAGCAGAATGGTATTTTTAGAATATGTCAGGCAACTTTCTGAAGTTTAATTGGTGGCTGAAGTGATCAGAACAGATGGTTCCTCATAGATTTGAGCTATTCCAGGACAACATCATTGGTGAAAGTTTTTGACAGTATATTGACTTTACTCTAGAAGATTTGTTTATCTTCATGAGAAAACGGAACTCTAATGGCTTCTTTTTGCTCTTTGTCTTTTTTGCTTTACTTTTCAGTGAGCATTGACAGGCACGCCTGAGAGACTGCAATCAGTTTCAAAGCTGGATAAGGACTGGGATACAAGTAGAGGCAGCAGAAAAATTGTAATGAAAGTGAACGATTCAGTATTCTGATGAAGTTCAAAAATTAGGACTGTTTACATAAGTCCAAACTTATTTGCATTTCCTGGCATTTCTGGTCTCTTCTTTCCCTTAATCGAGAGTTTATGTTATATAACAGATAAATTAATGAATTAAAAAGAATAAAATAAGCAAAGCGTCTTGCCATCTCAGTTAGTGGTACCTGCAGTTTGGCCAAATCTCTTTCCTGCTCTTAACTCTGTTTCAAAAACAGATTCAGTGATATAAGCATCCAGAAAAAAGCTTTTAAACAGCATCCTAAACTGAATGTTTAAATACTTATTTGCACAGGCCCAGTTGACATTTTATACAGAGTATGAGCAGATTCAAATCGTGCATTTCTGAGTAAGCAGCATTTTGTAAACCATTTGTGAGTGCACTTTCAGAAACTTCTAGAACTTGTCCCCTTTGTCTTAACGCGCATCAGGAAGAAGCTTTACTAGATGTATTAGGCATGCAAATAACAGTTTCTAAATGACTTGGTTTCACAGTAGGCAGAACATATTCTCCAATTACTCTCCCATTTTGATACTCTTTCTGATTTCAAAATGAAATAGAAGTTATCAGAGCTAGAATTATATCCCTACTGACTACTGCTTTTAATTATTCTAAACACATCTGGAATTACTATGTAGATTGATATTTATCAGTGCCAATACTTTAAATAGCTGGGAGGAGATCGTCTCCCCTTCCTCCCCTCCATTGCCCAAATCCCTGTTTTCCTGTGGAAGAAGGGGAACAAATGACCCCAACTCCCTCTAAGTGCACAACAAGTCACAGAGATAAAATGGCTTTCACCGTCTTATGGATAGGATGGAATAGCTCTGCTGCTGCTTTCTCCTCTCCATGACAGTAGAGAGGGAAGGTAATAAACACACTAGCAATTTAGACAGCCGAGGAGGTATTAACACCTACATGAGATGAGTCTCAGCAACACATCAAGCTTGCTTTCCCTCCAGCATAGGACCTAAGCGCCGCACTCAGTGACTCTGCCTCAGACCCCACAGGCATTTGCCCACCCGTTCCCTTCTACCACTGCTGTTCCTCATCCTCAAGCCAGGTCCCACTCAGCCTTGGAAGACTCCAAACTTTTTTATTTCTGGTATTTTAAAGAAAAGAAGACAGAGGAAGAACCTCTAAAGAAATCCATTTTCAATACAGGGCCAGCTGCAACTTAGGGCAGCAGGAGCAAAGATTGTACCAAGCTTCCCTCTGCAGCGTTGCGATGGAGAAAGCACACCAGCAGACTTGTGAAGTCAAATTAAACAAAATGCCATTAATAACTTAAATACTGAGACAACATAGATCAAAGCTGACCAAAGAAAAACACAGTCATGAGAGAAGTAATGGCATTAATTTAACTAAGTAATTCCTGAACACTACAGCCTGAAGAATAGGAAGAAGTCTCCCTATCAAATCCTCTCTCCCATTTCATTAGCACTATAACACACTGGAAATTTGGCAGAAAACACAGTAAAGATATTGTAACTCTATTAATTAACAGGGCCTGTGTATAGGGAAGACAAAATATATAAGCAAAAAGAGTAATGCACAACATGGAAATGGAAAACAGGTGGTTCTGAGACAACTTGTATCCAGCTTTCATAAACTGCAACAGCATCAGCCAGGAAGGTGCTGGATGCAAACTCATGGGACTGAAATGAGAATCCTGCTCTGATTTAAATCTGCTCCAACTTGGGGCAGCATGAAACTGTCTCCAGATTTTCCCTGAGCCATTGAGGATAGGGAGCTGCTCGCCTTGTCACCTCTGACCACCACTTGGACACATCTGAGAGGCTATGGCTAAATGCTTAAGATCAGCAGTGAAGATCTCAGAAACAAACTTCAAAGTAAATGTTTTACCAGGCATATTTAAGCACTTACTAAGATTTATATAATATCTTCAGTGTCCTTGACATTTTACAATAGTGTTTATTTCCTTGCTTGCTAATTCACAGAATTGGATAATCTACAAGGAAATTACACATTAGAAATAAGCAAGATTCTTGGGCATAACTTCATAAATATGACATTAGCACAACATCATTCTAATACAAACATACACAATGTTAAGTAGGAATAAAGCACTTCCTAAGGGCAGAGGAGGCCCTGTCTGCCACTGAATAAGTGTTGTGTGACAACCTGGAGGGAACTGGCTGAAGGGGAAGGGACCGTGTTTGTCAGCGAATCAATGACCCTCCAGTTGTATCAGCCCACCACTCTTGTCAGGGGAGGGGAGATAAAACAATTCCAAGGCTAAAACAGCTCTACAAAGATAGTAGGATCTAGTCTACAAACGTGGACTCCTTTTTTTCCAGTAAAGAAAAAACCCACGAGTAGTCTGTGCATTGTGACCATCTATAAAGTCCAACATGTGGCTTGTGTTCCCAGTTATTGGTGTTCAGACATTAAGTTTACAATGAAAATAAATCCCATTATAATTAATAAGTCTCTTTCCACCTGGTCACGAATGGGACATAAAAATCATTCTGAGATACCCATTTACTAGAGACACCTAATGAAAATGTTTCCAGTGAAAATCTGTAAAAATTAAACAGGGGGGTTTAAAGATTCCTCCGTAACGCCAGGGAGTAGCTGTGAGCAGCTCTGGAGAAGGCACACGCTGTACCCAGGTGCAGGCTTTTGTGATTCTGTTAAGGGGGACAGAGTCGTCTGATTTTTTTCCCTGATTCATCCTTTTCCCTAGTGGATATTCTGACCCTTAGCCCTGGCAAATCCAGCAGTACCAAAAAAGTTCTCTCTGGTCCCTCATTAATCACTCCCCTGCCATGTGCTATCTTACCTGCAGATGTAATTCTTCTTGCAGGATTCTTGTAAATTCAGGCAGTTTGGTTTCTCCCTGTCCTCATATGAACACACAGGAACAATAGTCTGCCGTCTCCTTTCTGTACAGGCTACGTCTCGACAGGAGCAGAAGAGCATCCCGTAGCTGTGCTTTGGGGGAACTTTGTCAAAAAATAGCCGGAGGGCCTTATGACACTTCCGCTTGTTACAGATTTCATTAGACGTGCTGCTGGTGCAGGGGGTAATGTAAGCAGATCTGAACCTCTTGCAGGTATCATTTAGGTTACAAGCTTTTGCTGCATCCAAGCAATTGTTCCCCTTTGAAAGTACTGGCTCCACTAGAAAAAACAACACAACAGCAGTAAGAAATGCGTCACATTTATACCGTGTTTCCATGTTTGTGTTTATTTCACTGTTAATGAGATCCTGATTATATATTTGTTACATACAAAACTTTCAGTGCCAGAAACTGCGACCAGTCCTTATGTTTCTTAGGGTAATGGCTTAATTAGTCAACAAGAGCACAGGCATGCGTTAAGATCAGAAGGCTGGCAAATAAATGACGATTACACCGAGCGGGCTGTACTTCACCTCCTTTGTAGCAGATCAGCAGGATGAATATTGGGTAAGACTTGGCCTCACTAAAAAGCTATTAAAATCGCTGGTAAATTGGAAGGGACACATTTGGCCCATCGCACAGGAACACAGCGACAACGTGGGCTCCTAACTCTGGTTTTGTAAAGCTCTGACATTTCTTTATTTTCCCCTTGAACGGTATAAATGACATTTGGTGTCTACACCAGGGTAACAACATTTAAATATCATCTGTGTACTCTGTAGAATGTAAAAGCCACATGCCTGTTACTACAGTTTTTGAGGTAGGAAAACAGCCCACCCGGACAGAAAGGAAAGCAGGGGCAGCCCCAGGACTGTGAGCCCTCTAAGGCCACCCACAGGGTCTGTAGAGCTCCACGTTTAGTTAAAGACATTGTTATAAGCTCTATAGATGCCACCTCATCCCTGGAAGTTTTATGAAGTTTACAAGCTCTGAAGAAGCTGACAGAGAATTAACAAACAAGCGACTGTGAAAGAAACATTTTAAAACAAGGAGTAAGTCTCTCTCTCTCAGACACACACACTACAAGAAGTTATAGAAAAAATGAATCTCAGATAAAAGTTAAGACTATAATTACACATTTAATTTTGCAATACATTATCCAGATATTAAAATCCAATATATACTTTGCTTGAAAATGAAGGCGACTGGTATTAGAATGCAAAATTCAATTAAGAATAATCGTAATGCTGCTTTGGATATTAGGAATGCCAAGATCACAGATCCAAGAAAATACATTAACTTCCCATTGCTACAGAATTTGCAAACTGAACAAAACATTTTGCAAATATCTAAAACTCTGCAGCAACCTCGCAGGGGGGGCTGGCCAAAGATAAAACCTCTCAAATGATCTAAGGCTCTAAGTTCCTCTTAAAAAAAGTTTTTTTTCTAGATCTTCCACCTTTTACCAAAAACCCAGTCCAAGGCCCTTCCACACCTCAGTGCCATTCTTCTCCATTTTCCTACCACTTCGCTTCCCATTCTCAGATCAAGAATCAACCTTTTATCTTTTTCCATGGCAGGAACAGATGGTGCAGCTCGGCTGAGATGCTGCACCGAGGTGCTGCAACTGCCTGAAATGACCGTGCCCAGGATGGGCCGTGGTACCAGCACGTGCTTCACATTGTACAAATAAAATATATAACCTGCTACTACCCCACGTATCTAACCTACCCAGAAATAAAGCAATGCATAAGTAGCATTAGATCTGTTTTTCACTCTCACAATACACTGCAACTACATTCAGTGGGTTTGTACATTTAGCCTTTGTACATTTATCATTCATATTCCGAGTCCCTCCCAATCCCAGTTTCTTGCACAATGAACTGCAACTTTTTTCTTCTTATCTTCACAAATTACAAAATTATGAACATGCAACATTTGACTATAAAATAACAGAGCCAAGCATTTCTTATAATAGCAGCCTACCACAGTTTAAGCAACACCAGATGCAGAAGAGATGAGATACCCAAAACACAACCCTGTCATAAAATTGTAAAATTTTTATATAAAATGCTATATTACATTAGCATACCACTATAATCTTAACTGTGAACTCTCAAAGTTTTTTTTATACAGCATATAGAATTATATGTTTAGTACAAATATAATTACTATGTAATCTGCAGGGCATGTAATTATGCAATATATGAATAGTACATGCTAATTACTATGTGATTGCAGAGTAATTACATAGTTATTTGTGCCTGGGAGTCAACTGCTGAATTCCACTCTTTAAAACAAGATTCTGTGGAAGAGCTCTGAACAGGGCATTTCAATACGAACAGACACCAGCTTACTGGATATTAGAAAGCATCCTTGAAAAGAAAACCCAAGATGTAATGAAGCACCTCTTTGCTGATAATCATATACATGTTTTCCATTAAGGGTCCAAAATGTAGTAAATGCTGATACAGAATTAAAAAGCGCTGTGAATGGGAACACCTCAAGAATCAAAAGTGACAGGTTAATCAATCTTTTTTAAAAACAGAGCATAAGCCAATTCCCTGACCACACAAACAGCAGTGAAAGTTGGCTTGGATGAAAGTTGAATGAGGTACAAATTGTTGATAACAATAGTTGTGTTCATTCACACCATTCATATAATTTATATCTACCCTAGACTCACATTCGTCTACACGTCAGCTCTGAACAGGCCTTTTGGTGTTTGTTTGTTTAGGTTTTTTTTCTAAAACTACCCCTGGCTGTAACTTGCCACTTTCCTTTTCTATTTTGGTACATATGTCTCTAGCTATTGTTTCTGGCATATTTATCATCACTTCATACAAATTATTTCTATATTTTAAAGTCAACTGACACACAGCACATAAGAGATATGCATCAACTGCATTTGAATTAAACAAGACTGTCTAAACCAACTCTTCTCATTAATGCCTGCTTCTCCCAAGCTTTTAAATCATGTTTTAATGCAAAATTTACAATCCAGAAGAGACTTTATGCTTTATTTTTATTGCAAAAGTACAACATAAGTATTCCTAAGTCCTGTGGTAACTACAAACAGTTAACAATACTGAGAGTGTTTCTGAGGATTACTTACGCAGCAGTAATACATAAGGTCAAAATTTCACCCAGCTTCTGTTCTGCAAAGCTTAAATTATTAAGACAGGCAGGAGTTTGGCTCTTACTAGGTAGTGACTGCGTTAAGAGCAAATGGATCTAATCCAGAGCTACTTTTCCTGCCAGCATCCTTTGGGAAAGGTCTGTGTAAGGAGATCTTTTTCAGTTCCCCCCTCTCTGGGGTCACTTGGATAGGGACTGAGGGCGGTCAGAGCAGTGGTCTGGGACAAGTAACGATTCCTTCCCACCACCATTTCCTCACCTAGAGCTTCCTCTCTCCCAGGTCTGCATTGCCTTGGACCCATTCTGGAAATCTCTGCCAAACCATGCAAGCTCTCTGCTCCTGCCAAATCACTGCAGACTCCGAGGCAAGTTACTTCCAGGCAGGTGAGAAGTGATGCCTCACGTCTGTGTGCGAGGGACTGGTTCCCACCCACAGCAAGGGGCCCAGCAGAGCAGATCTGCAATCCCCAGGATGCTGCCTCCCGGCAGAAGTCACCAGTGGCTACAAGTTGTTTTGCTGCTACGGGTGGGACCTTGATGAGATGCAGGCAGAGGCATGGTAAAGCACAGCCAGAGCCAGGATCTGCTGCTTTGGTGGGAAAGCAGCAGCTCTCAGCATCCACAGAGTTAGGATGCCTAAGAACATCCTCCTGCCAGGCAGTTTGCTGTTCCCTATGTGCAAAAAGTCTGGGGCAACAATAACTGGGTTACTGATCCTAACACTAACTTACCTCTAGACGGATCACTGGCTCACAGCTCTTTGAAAGCACTTGTAGCATGTGAATGCAAGGTGAGATGTTTTTCTGATAAATTTTACTGATGAAAAAACAGGCCTTGCATTATAGTATTTTTGATATTTGTTATCTCCTGAACACCCTTCTCTCTCTGGACCAACATAGTTACAGCTGCAACCATTCTGGACTCGAGCTCCCATACAACAGCAGAAAGAAGCCAGCCAAACGCTCCAGTCTTTCATCCAGAGATATTCCTAAAGTTTTAACAGGGCTCCCTCTGCCCTGTGTGATCTTCCTTATGCTTCACCCTCTTTCACTTCACCTTAGTCTTCCTTGCATTTCCATTTCTATTTCATTTCTGCACCTACTGAGCCCTTGGCTGTCTCCTGAACTCCCGTTAACCCCATGGTGGCGAAGAAAAGATTCTTGGTGGAAATTGGGAGCTTCTTATTCGTGTTCCTACTAGATGGAAGGAGTGAAAGCGCTATTACTTGTTCTATAAGATTCTTATTAAACAGCAAAATGGACACTGAGTTTTCAATTTTCTTACAGTACATAAAAAGCAATTTACTGAGGTTGCCATTAAAATTACAATTACTATTTGCAAGTAATTAGCATTAGTAGGTTTTCTAAGGGTTTTAGTGAAGGGAATGCTGTAAAGAGAGCTGTAAATGTTAATGAGATGGAAGGCAAAATTACAAAGTGATAGAGGTGACCACACGGGTATGGGCCTGCTCCAATGCAGATGCGGAATGTGGCATATAGGAACCTAAAACCAACTAGAATAAAGACAAGACCCATGATCCCACTTTAACAGAAGTGCTGCTATGGGCTTCACCAAAGTAATTCTGCTTTGTGAAAAGAATAGATCAAAAAATATGGAAAGCATGGGAAATATTGTCATCTGCATCTAATGGATTCAAATGAACTACCATTTTCCTGAGCAAATTATTTCTAATCCCAAATAGCAGAGAAAAAACAAGTCATCCCTGGGAAATCATTCCTGAAGATGACTCCCTTAATTGAAAATCTGCAGAGGTGTCATTCCACTTGTACTCTCTTCTTCTAATCCCGTCTAAAAAAATACAATACATTCTATACCACTGCTCCTCCTCTTCCTTCCAGACTAACCTCCTGTCTAATCCCTAATGTAGTCTCCCAGGCTTTGTGAAAACCCACAGAGAAGAGCACAGAGCACAGGCATCCCACTTCCTCGAAGACTATTCTGATGACATGCACCATGAGATCTTCTGCTGGGTGCCCATTAAAAGAAGAGTGGCTCTCTACTACCAAGAGTGTGTGTGGACATATGTACCTGCCTGAGGCCATGAATTTGACTCCTCACATCCAAGGGCTTCCAACAAATCTGTTTCTGTATTTCATATCATCCATCCAGAGATTTATTGTG